AGCCTCCGAGTGGCTACGTGACCCGTCGAAGGTCTCCTTCCAGCCGCCCGGAGGGCTCCGCCCGCTCCCGGCCCCCGGCCCCCAGCCCCGCCCCATCCGGGCCCGCGGGGCGCGCCTCCCGCCAGCAGGGGGCTCCCCAAGCGCGCGCCCGCCCCGGGCCCCCGAGTCCGGGGAGGGGCCTGGCCGGCCGTGGCCGCCCCTGCCCCCTGCCGCCGCCGCGGCCCGGAGCGGGGGCGGGGCCGTGCCAGGGGCGGACCCCGAACTTTCTTCCGACTCAAAAGCAGCAGCAGCGCCCCGGAGGCCTGCCCCGCCCGCGTCCCGCCGCCGCCGCCGCCGCCGGGCTCCTCCGGCCGCACGTCCGTCCCTCTCCGCGCCGCCCGCCGCCCGCCGCCGCCATGGCCAAGCCGCTGACCGACCAGGAGAAGCGGCGGCAGATCAGCATCCGCGGCATCGTGGGCGTGGAGAACGTGGCCGAGCTGAAGAAGGGCTTCAACCGGCACCTGCACTTCACGCTGGTCAAGGACCGCAACGTGGCCACCCCCCGCGACTACTTCTTCGCGCTGGCGCACACGGTGCGCGACCACCTGGTGGGGCGCTGGATCCGCACGCAGCAGTACTACTACGAGAAGTCCCCCAAGGTACCCGGCGGGAGCCCCGCGGGCACCCTCTTTCCCCCCGTCCTCCCCCCGAGGTCCGGGCGGTGGGGTCCGGGCGGTGGGGTCCGGGCGGTGGGGTCCGGGCGGAGGGGTTCGGGCGGAGGGGTCCGGGCGGGGGGTGGGGACCGGCCGGCGCTGGACCAGTCCCCATGCACGCCCCCACCAGCCCCACCCGGAGCGGCCCGCCCCTGGCACCGCCTGCCCGGGGACGCGCGCGCGGGCCTCCCTCCCCTGACCACTGGTGCTCAAACAGAAGTTGGAGCATTTACCCTCAACAGGTAACCCAGAGGTGCCGGGCGCCTCCTGTGAGTGCCAAGCACAGCTGTAGGCCCCTGGCTGCAGGCCCGGAAGAAAAGGGACAAAAGCCCTGCCAGGGGAGACGGGTGTCTAGAGTTCCCCAAATGGGAATAGGCGCGGGGGATGGGGGGAGGGAAGGGGACGGAGCTGGAGGAGCCTCGCTGCCCATAGAGCCTTTGGAGGATGCCAGGCGCCGGGGGCTTTTCCTAGGAACTGGCTGCGTGTGTGGGGCAGAGCTTTGCCCGCCCCTTCCCTCCCTCCAGTCCTCTCCCCGGTCCAAAGGAGTAGGGTGTGGCGCTGCCGGACTTCTTGATTCTGCAGCTCGGAAGCCTTCGCCCAGGCTGGGTGCGCTCTGAGCTAAGACCTACCCTGGGAAGATCTGAAGAAGGGCTGTGCTCAGACCACCCCTGTCCGCTGGGCAGGGCTGGTTGGAGGGTTACTTAGGGTGTTTGGGGGCGCACAGAGGGACACCGTCTCCCCCTGGCCCATCAGGGAAGTGGGGCCGGAGGCTGGAGGAGGGCAGAGGGAGAGGCTTGTGTTGTGCAGAGAGAGGGTGAGAGAGCAGCTCCGGCTCCGTGGTGAGGTGGGTGTGAGTCAGCGTTGGGAGAAGAAACTGGAAAAGCTGGTACGAGGCCTGTTGGAAAAGGGGAGCCGGTGATAGAGCCTGAAGGCAGTGAGACATACAGTAGGAATTTTTAATATGTAAAAAGCATGAAAACAGAAAAGGCTCGTCCATAATCACAGCGCCCAAAACCACCGTGAGGAAAAGAAAGGAAGTTTTCATAAGAAGAAAGGGCGATGGTAACAGAACTTTCAAATGGAAAGGAGCTCTTCCTCATTGCAGAGGCCTAGGGCTCTATCCCAGAGCAGCAATTGCTAAAAATATATCCTTAGAAAAAAGACTGTGTGTGTGAATATATTTGCTGTATCTTTTCTTTTTCCATGAGGGGACTGCCCCCTAGCATTGGACTTTTTATTTTATTTTAAGTTTTTAAACTGGAAAGTGAGATGATGAGCCATATTTAAGACCTCAACCGGCCCCCCCACACACACATACCCCAATCTCCCCCCCACAAACACACACCCCAATCTCCCTCCCCACACACACTCTTCTGTAGCATTTAACACCAAGCATCTGGCCTCCTATGTTTCTCTTCCAGTGGCTTGTCTTGTACTTTATAGTTGTCCTCATTCTCTAGGTAGTTTTTACACTGGGCTCTCCCTCCCTAATTGAGTGTAGGTATAAGCCAGGTATTCTGATAGCGGTACACTGGGGATACTACAGGGAACAAGATGCATTCCAGCTGAAACCGGTTTGGCTCAGTGGATAGAGCATCGGCCTGTGGACTGAAAGGGGAGTCCCAGGTTCGATTCCGGTCAAGGGCATTTACCTTGATTGTGGGCACATCCCCAGTGGGGGGTGTTCAGGAAGCAGCTGATTGATGTTTCTCTCTCATCGATGTTTCTGTCTGTCCTTCTCTCTTCCTCTCTGTAAAAAATCAATAAAATATATATATATATATTTTAAAAGATGCATTGCACACGTTAGTGAAGTGTCTACCGTGACTGCAGTTCACCTAAATAGGACATCCCCAGAGAGCATGGACTAGAGCTAGTAAGTGTGTCCAAGCTCCTCTCCCACCCCCCTACTCTCTAGCATCTGTGCAGGTGAATCCCAAATTTGGGTTTGTAGACTTAATCCTTTTATTAAACTTCATCCCTACACTTCTAAGTGCTTGGTGTACATACCTACATCACTATTTCCTCAAACTGGACTTATTACCCCTCCCAGCCCTGCCCCATCTTCTCTGTTTCTAATTGTAATGGCACTGCCATCCTGACAGTTACCCAGACACAAAACTTGAGTGTCACCTTTGACGTCCTCTGTATTCCCCATTCAACAGGTTGCCAAATGCTGTCCGTTCACGTAGGTCCTGTTGAAATTACTCTCTTGACATCTCACTTCTCTGCGTAATGGACGCCCTGGCTACTGGCCTGTGAAATTGACTTCTGAGGGGCTGGCTTGCTTCTCAGAAGTAGTAACACTGGCAGCATGCAGCCAAGTATGGCTAGCAGATATATTTTCTCTGGCCATTGAGACGCCTTTCCGTAATTTAATTGTCAGTGCCTTTGGGCAGGACTTGGGCACTCCAGTTCTTGGCCCAGTCCTCCTCATTGTTCTATGTGACCTCCATTGCACTGGTATTTCCTCTGCCTGGCTCCTGGAGGCATCTGAGTTGGCAGTTGCAGCTCATTCTATGCAATGTAGTTCGATTAAGCTTACAAAAGCAGTACATCTTGCCCTTTGCTCAGGTATCATTGGCTCCCGTTGCCTGCCACAGTCCTTAATCAGGCATTTAAAGCCTTCTCGGTCCGGTCCAGGTGAACCTGTCCTACACTTCTTTCCTCCCACTGCCTTCCTGGGCTTGCCTTGTTCTCCCATCAAACCAATGTGCTGCCCACCCATGCCCTGTTCTCCCCACTTCTGCGCCTCTGCCCCCGGCACCCTTCGCTTGGAATGCCCTTCTTGCCAGTGTCTCTATGCTCAACTCTTGCCTCTCCTGCAGATCTCCGTTTTGTTGCCACCTGTTCCACAGTCTTCCCACAAGTACCCAAGTCCTCTATTGAATGCTGGGAATAAACTTTAAATTACTTTTAAAATATTGGTTATTGTCAAATAGCTTTTCTTTATTTCATCTTTGCTTGCTTTTTGAAAATGTCCACTTATTCTAAAATATACGTAATTATTAGTGATGGTAGTGTGTACATGTAATTTGTAAGGTATATTGGAGGTGCTGTATATTTTACTAGCAGGAGTATGAGATAAATGTTTAAGAGGATGGGAGAGATCTGTTTTTCAAAGTCTTGCATATCCCCAAATATAAAGTGAAGTCCCTCTAAAAATTATTTTTATTAGAAATCATCTTAAGTACCTGTCTTTGCTAAGTCTGTTATATAATGAAATCTCTATATATTATTTTAAGCAGCAACTATTTTTTTTTTACAAAGACTTTGAAATGTCTTAAGTCCATGCTAATTTGGAATCATCAAAAGGGAGACAAATACTATTAACAAATATAGTCATTACTTCGGAGGGCATAGCTTCAAACTGCAAATGTGGGAGATATATATATATATACACTGTATTTGTAAGCAGGCTTTTTATAGATCACTAAAAAGTAATACACAGTGGTTATATTATGGAGATCATGAAAAAGTAGAGGAAGATGAAGAAAAGGAAGCTGCTCTGATGTTATGAAAATGGGTATATTTGTGGCTTGAAATACTCTTTCCTGTGACACAGCCAGTGGCCTGGTGTACAAGGGCATCAGCCATGGGGTGAGTGGTGCCATGTACCCCTTTGGCATATGTCTGCCCAGGAAATATACATTTTCCCAACTCACACGAAGGCACCCAATAGACTAATGAGTGCCCTCATCACAGTGTTATAGATATTCAAACAACTGGATAAAAATAATGATGATGTGCTCTGGAAAACAGTGTTAGATGACCCACTAAATATGGAAGACTTAGAGTTCAATTGTTACATAAAATGAAAGTGGGAGAAAGTGAAATTTCTAAATGGACATTTTCATATAATAGTCTAAATGAGTTAAATGTTATAATAGGCATTCGTTATATGAAGTGTGTGTATATATATATTTTTTTTTTTGGGGGGGGGGCGGGGGTTGATCAAATACTTTTCTCTTTGGTTCCTTTTATTGAGAAATGGGAGGAGTTCCGGAAATTGTAGGTGACTTTATATGGATGCATTTACAGATTTTTATTGTTTTGTGTTTGGGGGGGTGGGGGTGGGGAACCTGATTTGGAGAAAAAGGTATTGTAAAGGGGGATGATGCAGTTACTCACGGATCTCTTTCTTAAAAGAGAATTAGGAAACTGCACCTGTACTTTAAAGGGGTTAGGCAAGTTTAACCTTTGTACCTTTCACTCTGCTCGGATAGTGTTTGCCTGGCTTTTACTATGTCACAGCAGTTTCTAAGTTTATGGAGAAATTTCCCATTTCATGAAGAACAAACATCAATAATACTTGCCTGGCAGGGGAGCTACCATGATCCCGGAAGTGGTTTTCCCAAAGCGAAGCTTATCCATTACACTCTGGATGTGCAGGCCCCTGCGATTTCCCCAAATGTGGGAAACTTGACTGCGTAATTTGTGGTAGTAGGGCCTGCGCTGGTGCTCTCCCTGCAAAGAAATAATAAGAAACACCAATAAACCTGGGGTAGACTTTTTTTATTCCCAGTTTCTGGCTTTCTAAAATAATTTAATTCTAAAATAATTAATTGTAATATTATTTACAGTAATCAGTCAAGGAGGAGTACTTTCTAGCCATCAGGTATATAAGGAAGAAGTTAATCTTTGTATTTCTTGGATGATTTGAGATAGTCACAGCCAACCCTACTTGACTCTCATCCTCTAAATATTTTATAAATGACTGATGGGCCATGGCAATCTGACTTCTGTTTGCCCAAAACATATGCTTAATTTATGAGGCTCATGAACAGAATGAGGGGAAAGGGGGGAGGAGAGACACAAAACTTTGAATCTAATTAGTTGGATGAGTTTATTTTTTTTCTCCCTGAGGGTAAAAGATACTGAACTACTTTACCAAATATAGGATATAAAATGGTTTTCCCAAAGCCAATTGTCAGTAATGCTTTTATTTATCCCTTTATACATCTACTAATGGCCTGGTGCACAAAATTTATGCATGGGAGGTGGGGGTTAGGGGGTGTCCCTCAGGCCTGTATGCATCCTCTCCCATCTGGGACATCCCTAACCCAGCAGTTGGACATCCTCTCACAATCCAGGACTGCTGGTTCCTAACCACTCACCTGCCTGCCTGCCTGATTGCCCCTAACCACTTTGCCTACCAGCCTACTCGCCCCCAACTGCCACCCGCCACTGGTCTGCTCCCCACAAATGCCCCTGCCAGTCTGATCACCCCCAACTGCCCCTCATGCCAGTTTGCTTGCCCCCAACTGCCCCCCCCCCCCCCCCCCCGCTGGCCTGCTTGCCCCAACCTGCCCTCCTCACTGGCCTGCTTGCCCCCAACTGCCCTCCTGCTTGCCTGCTCACCCCAAACTTGTCCCCTGCGCTGCCCTGATCACCCCCAATTGATCCCCACTGATGGCCTGATCACCCCCAATGTCCCCCCACACACACCAGTCTGATCACCTCCAATGGCCCCTCGACCAGCCTGATCACTCACAACTGCCATCTTATCCTGGCTTGAACACCCTCAGCTGCCCTCCCCTCTTGGCCACTAACAACCTCTACCTTGGCCCCACCACCATGGCTTTATCCAGAAGAACGTCCGGAAGGTCTCCCAGTCTAATTAGCATAGCCTTTTTTTTTTTTCAATTGATTTTTCACAGAGAGGAAGGAAGAGGGATAGAGAGGTAGAAACATCAATGAGAGAGAAACATCGACCAGTTGCTTTCTGCACACCCCCTGCCAGGGATGTGCCTGCAATCAATGTACATGCCGTTGACCAGAATCGAACCTGTGATCTTTCAGTCCGCCTATCCACTGAGCCAAACCGGTTTCAGCTAGCATAGCCTTTTATTAGTATAGATAGAGGCCTGGTGCATGGGTGAGGGCCGGCTGGTTTGCTCTCAAGGGTGTCCTGAATCAGGGTGGGGATTCCTTTGGGGTGTGGGGCAGCCTGGGTGAGAGGCTGATGGCAGGCTGGCCACACACGCCTAGCAGAGACTCTTACTCCATGGGGGTGTGGTCATCCTGGGTAAGGGACTGAGGGCCATTTTCAGGATGGCCACAACCCCTTCAGGGTGGGGGGTCCTGCTGGGATGCCTGACCAGCCTGGATGAGGGGCTGATGGCTGTTTGCAGGCTGGCCATGCCCCCCTGATGAAGCCTAAACAGGGATCAAGCCTAAACCAGCAGTTGGACATTTTATGTTTATATTTCTTTGGGAAAACCATTTTATATCCACTCCTTCAGCAGTGACCAAGGCAAGTGGGAAGCTTGGCTTCTTCCATCGTCAAGGGCAACGCAAGCCTCCTGCTTGCTCCAGCTCCATAGCCACTGCCATCTTTGTTGGGTTAATTTGCATACTCACTCTTGATTGGCTGGTGGGCATAGTGGAGAGGTGGTCAATTTGCATGTTTCTCTTCTATTAGTGTAGATAGGAGTTTCTTTTGAACCTGTGTCAAAGTAGTTGTGCCTATTTGTTTTTTACTTTCAACCTTGTGTGTTTATGTTGACCAGTAAGGTTGGACTCATAAAGTTAACATAACCTCTCTTTTCTTGTTTCAGAGGGTTTATTACCTTTCTTTGGAATTTTACATGGGTCGAACATTACAGAACACCATGATCAACCTCGGGTTGCAAAATGCCTGTGATGAGGCCATTTACCAGGTACATTCTTTCTCTTTAAATTTTAATTTTGGGGATGTAGTACCCTGCTCACCACCACCTCCGCAAAAAAAGGTGAAAATTTATTCTACAGACATTGCTGTTACAAACTATTAGAAATATAAACTACTAATGATCTCTGATTTAAGAGAAACAAAGTCAGAGAATTAGTTTTGCCTAATGAGAACTTACTTTTGCAGTCATAGCTTCTGACAGCATTCAACATCTGAACAAGCCTTTTAAAAGTACATGAACCTCTGCTGTCAGAATCATAGGCTTTATTTTAGGCTCCTATCTGCTTTCAAAAAATGATCAAAGTGTGACTATTATTTATATATCAAGGCAATATGTAAAAATAATAAGCTTTTCAAATTTCATCATCACACTTCCCCTATTGCTAGATGACTTGTAAAATGTACTTCCCCCTTAAATGAGGAGCCTGAAGTCTTAAACCTAATAATCTAATTTGTTTTTTTTATGAGCATATTTAACTATTTCTCTCATAAACTTCAGGGATCTCCATACCAAAAACAAACAGCCCTTCACCTTGTGGGTGAGGTTGAAAGGAGGAAAAGGTATTTGCAAAGACATGCTCATGGGTTGTCCCCTCCTGTGGTCAGCTACCTATCACCGAAGGCTGGTTTCCTTCACCTTAGTTAGGTAGAGTATTTCCTGTGAAAGAACCATTGCAGCTTCCTCCACTTCTCTTTTCTTACCTTCCCCTGATACTAGCTGAAAATATTATACTTCCCATGGCCTAGCACAGTGGTCGGCAAACTCATTAGTCAACAGAGCCAAATATCAACAGTACTATGATTGAAATTCCTTTTGAGAGCCAAATATTTTAAACTTAAACTTCTTCTAATGCCACTTCTTCAACATAGACCTGCCCAAGCCATGGTATTTTGTGGAAGAGCCACACTCAAGGGTCTAAAGAGCCAGCCGCATGTGGCTCGCGAGCCGCAGTTTGTCGACCACTGGCCTAGCATTTAACCAGGTGGGATGAAGTGACCCATCCGTTTGCTCAAGGTTTATCCCCTACTTTCGACTTACATTTTTAGAATTTAGAATTTAAAAAAAAATTGTGAATGTTAGCCTTCGCCATTGGCTTGCACAATGACCCCAGTAAATTCTAGTCACACCAGGGAGCACATTTGAAAGTCCCTTCAACAGCGAACAGAAGCAAAGCCATTTTGGAACACGTAGAAGATGGACTAAGACATGTGTGACAAAGCAATTTTTGGTATAAGGGTAGGTGGGGATCCAAGTGCATGGCTGTGGGACCTGGGGCATCAACTTCAAGCATGGTTGCTTCTTCTGCATATGCTTTCAAAGTGTGTAAATTATGTTTCCTTTTTAAATAACATCTCATTTCATGGATTGCCTCACTTTCAGATAAGAATGCAGTCATTTCACAGCAGACCATCATTAGCTAAGCTAGCATGGGCTGAATTATTATCGAGTCAACATAGGACAGGTTGTTTATTTTACCTGCCATCAGTTTCCTCACTGTAAGATGAGCAAAGTTATCTCCAAGGCTACTGGATTCTGACTTGAGTCCACAGCGGTGCCAGTGGCCTCTGGCTGTGCGGCTCCCAGGGGGCTGACTGGCAATCAATTTGCATCAGTCCCCAAGGTCACACATGCCTCTAAGCCTCCCACAGCCTTTGATCCAATCTAGAGAGAAGTAGAGGATTTTAGCCCCATCCAACCAGAGCAGCGATTTTCAACTGGTGTGCTGCAAGAATTTTTAAAACATGCAATGCCTGATTATTTAGTCAGGGGCATTGACCTCTTTTTCCTTAGATTATCAAATAAAAAAATGATGACAGCCAACACAACAATAGGCGTCGGGTATGAATGAATCAAAATTATACCTTTTTTTTGGTCAGATCAGCAAAAAATACATTTTGTGTGTGTGTGTGTGTGTGTGCGCGCGGCAGAATTTTAGTAACTAGTTTATGGGTGACACGAGATGAAAAGGTTAAAAATTGTTGAGCAAGAACTGAGGGTTTCCTTGACTACTGTCTGGCTCCAGGTCTCAGGGACAGTGACTCACCAACTGGCTTTGGGTTAACAACCATTGACCCTACTGAGCAAATATGTTGTGGTCTTAAAAAGATGAACTTTACTCCACCCTGGAAAGTCTGACCTCCTACCTGTTGATAATATTTAAAATCCTTCAGCCCAGTTAGTGTCAGCTTGGTACTGGACTATTTCTCAAATTTTACCCTGACTGCACACAAAAAAGAACCTTAGGAAATTATTAAAGGTTAACATTTATTGAGGAATATCTGCCCAGGAATAATCTAAATGGTTTGTTTGTATAATTTCATTTGATTCACAACAACCCTAAATGTGGCACATACTGTCATCTAATGAGGACTTAACTTTTAAAAAAGAGAAGTGAGGCCTAGGGAGATCGAGTAGCTGGTTCAGGGTCACCTTGCTAAGAAGTAACAGAGTCGGTAATGGACACTGAGAGCCCAACGTCACTACAGGCCGCTGCTATGCCATCTCGTACAAGTTTGCATTTGCAGTCACCAGCATCTGTAGTGGGCATGGCTGCCAGGGTACGCTGCATGGGAGCTGACACCATTGAGTACCCAAACCTGCACACCTGACCCAGAGCATTAGAAAATGATTGCTCCTCTCTGCAATGGCCTGCGTTTGTACCCACATCCAGTGATGTTTTCCTTTCCTCACCAGCTTGGACTGGATATGGAGGAGCTAGAAGAAATTGAAGAAGATGCTGGGCTTGGCAATGGCGGTCTTGGGAGGCTTGCTGGTAAGTGACATGGTTAGTGTGGCT